ATACTCCCACTAAATAAAAAAAAAAGTTTAATAATTAAAATAACAAATACTTAATAAAAATGCAATTTTTTTTTTTTTGCATATCTTTAAGTTTTTATATTTCATTGATTGGTTTCCAAAATTGAACGAAAGGTAGAGTTTGCAAATCTCAACAAAAAAAGTTAGTGATAACTTCAACAAAACTATACTGTGAGGATTTCAAATCAGTATGTTGCAACAAAAAAATCTAGTTCATATAAAATACAAGTTTTTTTTTTCTAATTACGTGCAATAAAGTTGAAGAATACAACTAAAAAAATTGAAAATAAATACAATGTATCTAAATAAAAATTAAATACATGATAGAATCAATAATGTTTTGTGGCAACTTTTAACATCAACTTGAGATTCTTCTTAAAAAGTGGAAGAATTTTAACACATTCAACGATAATATCGATAAAAAATAGCAAATTTTATAGTGTGTTTTCGAGGTGTAGCATGAGCAAAATAATTTCACAGATTTGACTTAAAAATGGACCCCCAGAATGACGTAAAAATCTACAAAAATTTTTCATCCTTTAATAGTTGTGCTTAGTTTAATTGGTAACATATATAAAAGTAGGGGTTCAGTGTTGTACACACCAGCCTTTTGTATAACTTGCTTGCTTCTTTCTTTCTTTGTATGTCCTTAACTTACGCCACGATAAAAGTAAAAGTTTCACTGTAAAACATGTATAAAATTAACAAAAGTTAACATCCAGTTTGGAGATAAGTATGCAAGTGATATATCCACTGTACTACCATTCTGTTGCTTGAGCAGCATGATAAAATTAACTTGCAAATACTAAGTTAGAAATTGCTCTATTAGTCATCTGAGAGACCTCCTTTCTGCTTTTTATCGGCATAGCTGATGCTAATCTCCAGGAGAGTGACTCGTTGCGTATTCACAGGCTAACATTCTTGGCTGACATAAAGTGGAAAGATTATATTGAATCCATTGCTAGAAAGTTGGTTCACTGTGTTGTGCTAGACAATTTTTCTCTCCAGAATCTATCTTACATATCTATAAGTCTACCATTCATCCATGCTTAGAATATTGCTGCCACATATGGTCCGATGTTCCTGTTATATATCTAGAGATTCTTAATAAAATCCAAAGAAGAATCATCAATATTATTGGTCCTGATCTGGCAGCTTGTCTGCAGTCACTTTCCTGTCGTCGTAAAGTTGTCACCTTGTGCCTTTTTTATAAATACTTTCATCATAACTGTTCAAATGAGCTATTTACTATGGTACCTAGACTTTATGAATTTAAGCAGAGTACTAGACTGGTGACAAGTTTTCATCAATTTACAGTTGAGTTGGCTCAATGTTCTAAGTTCTATGCTAAGAGTTTATTTTCTCACACTTCTCACTTGTAGAATTCCTTTCCAGCTCCTCGCTTTCCAGTCAACTTTAATCTTTAATATATTTCATGGAGTTTATCATTTACATCAATATGGGTATGTTCGTTAATAATAAATAGCAGTAACTAAAAAAAAAAAAAGGCAGACACAACACAAAAAGCAGTGCTCTTCAACATGATAAAAGTAAGAAAGTGGCTTGCTGCCACTTGATCTCCTTCAGTATCAAAAAGTTTATTGGTAAGGAAAATAAAACCTAATGCCTAGAAAACAGATTTTTTTTATAGTACATAAATAATTAAATAAGGAGAAGTTGCTTTTTGTTTGTTGTACTAGATTGGCTGTTAGGTCTCATTTTACTGTTGAAATCACTAAATGTAACCGTAAATTCTATGCTAATAGTTTCTTCTCTCTGACTTCTTGCTTGTGGAACTCTTTTTCAGCTTTCCTGTCAACTATGATCTTCAAAAATTTAAATGTTACGTCAATTGTCATCTGTCTTTTTGAATCCTGGTCTTTCATTGTCCTCTCTGTCTTCAGTAATGGTTTCTCAATTTCTTTCACTCTCCGTGACCCCCTAGCATCATAACTGCTTCATTCGCCTTGCCAGGTGAAATGATATTTTTTTAAGTGAATATAGCATTTGTGAATGAATTATTGACAGGTTTTTAAATTTTCTAAACACATTTTCAAGAAAAAAGAAAAAAAAAAGGCATGAAAAAAAGATTAATAAAGTTTGAGAGAGTCCTGCGTATGATGATAAACTACATCCAGCGGCAAGGCCTCTGATCGGGAGATTGGAGGTTTTGAGGAGCGTGGAACCACCTCTTAATTGCTGTTGTTCCCTGGTCCACCCTAACCTAGGGTCATAGCACTTGTTAAGGTCCCAACTATGAGTAAATAATGAACTTCCAAACAAAACAAAAACAAAATACTATGAACACTAACCACTATACCTATTTATAGTAAAATTACCAACAATACCTTTTTAAAGCAATATGACCAGCAATACATTTTACAGTAGAATTACCAACAATAAAATTTATAGCAAAATAACCACCAATTCATTTTCTGTAGTTGAAGGCATACAATTATGCTCAAAATATTTAGATTTCAGCATTAAATAACCCATAGATGTTGATATGATGCTAAACAAAATTAACCAACCAACATGAAAGAACTCTATATTATTTACATTATTCAGACTATTGTCCTCATCTTTGTCGCCATATTTATCACAACGTTTCAGCCATTGTACGCTCCGGCCTTCTTCAGGTGGTTGGAATTTCGAACTGAACCCTTTATTTCGCTCACTGGGGTAGACTGTTCTAGTTCGACATGCCATGTTTGATGGATGTCAGTTATCAGTTATCTCCTGCTAATTTCCCTCTGAAAGTTCTCCACTGCCTTAACCGGGTATTGAACTCACACTCTTTGGGTCCTGTCACTGGATCTAACCAACGCTTTTATCTACTGTGCCATGTGTCCTTGTGTTAACATATTTCTATTATTTCAAAGCTCCTAAGAAAATTCCAACCACCTGAAGAAGGCCCGAGCGTACAACGGTCGAAACGTTGTGATAAATATGGCGACAAAGATGAGGACAATAGTCTGAATAATGTAAATAATATACATAATACCTCATCCCAGAAATATAGACAAACTATGAAAGAACTCTTTCATGACATTAATCCATATAATATCCTACAATTTCTTAATGTATTTCAAAATATAACTTCAACAAAACTAAAATGTAAAACACACATATCACTGCCTCCAGTAATTATGTCCACACAAACTTGCACAAAAGCTCAGTATGATCTACCATGTATTCAATTGTGAAAAGAGAATAACATATTTCTATTATTTCAAAGCTCCTAAGAAAATTAAATTTCAGCATTAAATGAACCATAAGGAAGTGATATGCCATTAAACAAACAAATCAATAAAAAACAACAGAAAAACAAAATAAATTAAATCAGTTATTCAAAGCGGTTATTAATTTAAAATACCTCTTGCCATTTTTTGGCAACTGAAAGAAGCCACCTATTTGTGCATAACGGAAAAATAATTAAATAATGGGAGATAACTTTTAAATGCTAATTATAGAGTAGTATTTCTTATTTATTTACACATGCATGAAAAAGTAAGGAAACCAGATATACAAAATCTACCTCTTTTGCACATAATGCTCAGGAGATAATCTTCGAGGGAGCAAATAATCTTTTTTACTGTGTTAAGTTTCTCTTGAAGAGTGGCTCAAAGGATCTATTTATTTTTTTTTATTTAACTTCAGTTCAAGGTCATAAGATATGCAGATGACACAGTCTTGATAGCAGACACAGAAAGCAAAATACATGAACTCCTCCAGAAAGTAGTGAAGGAAAACGAGAAGAAAGGACTAATCAATTGCAAGAAAACAGAATGCATAGTTATAAGCAAAAGGAAGAGCCCAACATGCAAATTAAAAGCTGGAGATATCAAAGTCAAACAAGTTAAAAAAAAAAAAGTTAAATATCTGGGAAGTGTTTTAACAGAGGACGGAAAGTGCAACACTGAAATCCAAAAGTGCATTGAGATAACAAAAGATACTTTCCAAAGCAATGTATTAAGAAACAAAAAAAAATTTGTTAAAAAACAAAAATATAGTACTGAACTGTTACATAAAATCATTTCTCCTATATGGCAGTGAATGCTGGACAATCCCCTCACAGATGAAGAAAAGACTTGAAGCAACAGAAACGCAGTTCTACAGAAGGATGCTGAGAATACCATGGAATGAACATGTGAGCAACAAGAAAGTTTAAAGAAAATGGCAGCAAAAAGGGCACTTATGCTTGACATCAGGAAGTGACAGTGGAAATTTCTAGGACATACAAGGAGGAAAGAGGGTTTGGGAAATGTTATACTCACGGGGCAGACTGAAGGCAAGTGGGACAGAGAAAAACAACACATAACCTACCTAGCGAGCTTGAGTAAATGGGTTTGGAGTGACAACAAAGACAAAATTTATTAATAGCTACAAAGGATAAGAAATTTTGGAGAGCCATGATCCCAAATGTCCTGAAGAAACACAGCACATTGAAGAAAATGATGTCGATCATCAGGCCTGTCGGCAAGGGCCTCTCTCAATAAATTATTTGCACTTCACCAATGAAAATGTTATGAACTACTATTTAAGGCCCTTTCATTTAAATGTGTCCCTCTTTCTATTTAAAATGCTCTGGCCACTGTCCTGCTTATCATACATCTGAAATGTTTTAGTTGAAATTAGTACAGATATATTTTCCATTAATTTGTTGTACTTTGTTAAGTTTGGCACTAGAATAACTAAATGGACCACTTAATAAATATCAAACTCACAATACTTTCAAATAGCTTTACCTGATAACCACTCCTTCAAGGTCAATATACAAATACCAGCTGACAATAAATATAGAATATATTGTCCTTAAAGATCTACTTTAAATATTAGAACCAAACTTATTTGTAAGTAATTTCTTTTTATGTATAAGCTTTATGGTCACATCTGAACTCCATTTAGGGTAAAAAATATTCATTCAGGTCCAGGGCATCACTCCACCCCCAGGCAGTACCTCTGCTGTTGTACTGGCTTACAGTCATATTATATTGAAACACCAGTTCTCATCCAATCACTGAAGTTAAGCAACGTTGGACCTTGTCAGTACCTACATGGGTGATCACTGGAGAATACCAGTTGCTGTAAGCTTGGATGTACAGTTGGTGTAATGTATAAAGACTTGGAATGAGAATCTGATTAATAATATTTTTTTTAAGTTCAAGTGACTTATCTGGTTATGTGACTTACAAGATGTTATATACTGTACCTATGAACACTAATGGATATGTCTCAATCCTCATAAATACATTGGACACTATTGTAAGTGGGGGGGTAATATGCTGTCTAAGTAGTTCACCACTAGAAGTGGTTTACCTACTTCACACCGCTGGCGAGTATTGTATTTTGTTGATGTTATAAAGATTACCATTTCATTTCCAGCCTCCGTTTTGGTTATTCCTCATTCCGTAACCCTTTCTAGGTTACAACACAAGATTCATGCCAAAATGCTCATTAGGGCCAGGACTGGAGGTAACATCCCCTTGGGAATTTGTTCCACAAACTGGAGAAGATATGAGTGGGACTAACTCCTTATCAAAGGAATGCGAAAGAAATAGGTGCGATTTGCCAACATGGCATGGCAGATCCAAATTGTGAATGTATGAGCTGGTGGGACTAAAGGATGTAACTCGTCCAAACATCTGCCATCGTAATCATGATAGAGTAGCGAGAGGCTAGCAACATTTTGTCTGTAGGAAAAGGCTTACAGTGTAGAGAATAATTCATCACTTACAAGACCGTGTAATCGCTTTTGTACTCTGTCAAGGCTGGAGAATGAGGACTGTGTAGCAGTCAGAAATCTTTTGTCTGATCTGACTCTTGTAAAGATAGACCATGGCAGCTGGAGTTAGGTATTTTCTGGAATGATACAAAGAACTAATCATTCTTTCAGCATCTTTTGTGTTGGCATGAATATATGTGTTCCACTTGAAGTCAGTGTTCATGGCAAAGAGCCACTTTGATGGTTGTTATATACTGGATCTATGAACACTAATGGATATGTCCTAATCCTCATAAATATGTTGGACACTATTTTAAGTGGGGGTAATATGCTGTCTTAAGTAGTCCACCACTAGCAGTGGTTTACCTACTTCACGCTGCTGGCAAGTATTGTATTTTGTTGATGTTATAAAGACTACCATTTCATTTCCAAACTCCATTTTGGTTATTCCTCATTCCATAACCCTTTCTAGGTTACAACAAGGGTATAACAACCCATTGAGATTGGTGCAGGTTTAGGGCCTGTACGATGGTGTTTAAATGTTACTAGATTTGTTTTATTGAATTGTACCAGCCATTTTCCCCTATTGAGCTGTGAGAGTTAGATCGGGGGATAGATCAGCTGCCAGATACTGAACATCAAGATATTTGGAGGTGAACCAATACATCGTAGTATCATCTCTCTCTCTCTCTCTCTATATATATATATATATATATATATATATATATATTTACTAAGGAAATGAGAGTGTTCTTGGGAAGATTATTAATATAAAGCAGAAAGAGGGTAGGACTGAGGAGAGAGACTTGGGGGACACCAACATTGATTTCATGGACTGGCAATCAATGACAAACTTTATAGACCTACCTGACAGGAAAGACTTGATAACTAAGGGAACGTTCCTAGACATTCCATAGCTGGCCAGTTTCTGTAACAATCCCTTTTGACACACCTTGTCAAAGGTCATCGAAATATCTTGGGCGATCACTCTTGACATGTTTATTATCATCAAGTACTTCACTGATTCTACACATGATGACAGTTATAAATATTGAACCTAGAAAAGAGAAAATCATATTATTTGTTGCTCAGAAGTTTGTTTTTGTTGAGATGTTCAACAACTTTCAAAAAGTTTGCTAATGGCATTAAGGAGGCTTATGGGGCAATATTATGGCATGAACGAGAGCTCACAAGGCACACTCTATACATCTTCCATGAGTTTGGGAAACATTTCTTCTTAAGGAAACTGTTAGCTTCACTCAAATTGGAAATGGCTCTGGGCCAATGTTCTTTAGAACAACTACGAGGATTTTGTCCATAGAGTCAAAGTAGCCTTTGTCTTTACTGTGCATGAATATATTTGATTATCTTAGAAATATCCACAAGATGGAATACACCCCGATCTTATTTGATAACCTTGTTTCTTTCAAAGGCAAGAATATGTTATTGAACGTTATAACTTTGTGTGTATGTGCAACAGACTTATATACTTATATTAAATATAGCATGGATATATGCCATATAAACAATGTCTGATCAAAAAGTATCAGGGCTGGTGCTATAAAAAAGTAAACTACAGCACATATCAATTCGACATTTAATCTCCTTCAAATTAGTCTCCTTCTGAAGCCACACACATTATCAAAGACTATTTTCATTGATGGAAGCATTTCTGCAACCTCTTATTTGGGATAGCAAGTGACTCCCTCATTACATTCTCTTGGATTTCCTCAACATCTTGAAATCTTGTTCCTTTCAAGTGGGATTTGATTTTTGAAGAGGAAAACATCACAATGGGTGAGATCCGGAGAATATGGTGGTTGTCAGACCTAGGGAATGTTTGCCTTAGCCAAAAACTGCTGTACAAGCCATGGTCAAAATGGAACCTCTGTGGTGTGGTAAGACAACAACACTCTACACACTTTCCTTCCAAGTACATTGGATGTGAGCAAGAATGTTATAACTTGTGTGTATATGTGACAGAATTCAAAGTCAATCTTTCCCATGCAGCTTCACTCTGTGTATTTTAACTCCATTACCATAGCAACAGCTTCGATACTTTTGATCAGACCTCATACATACCATATTTTACAGCATATAATGTCATTTTTCCTTTTCTTTTCTATACATGAGCCTCAAAATCACAGTGAAGGCCAAGACTATAGTCAAACTTGTGGTTTCTGAATAATACTGCACAGTCAACAGGGTTAGAGAAAGGTTCTAGAAAATTTACTGCAATTTTTTTTCCAATATGCTTAATTTAATGGTCTATCATACACAAAAATACTCTGCATGTGTTTGTGTGTGTGAAGAGAAGTCTATTCGAGGTAGTGGTAGTATTATAGGTAACTGAATTGTGACAAGAAACCTATATTGGACATACTACTGCCTCTTTGAGTAGACACCTTATGTGTCACTTATCAGATAAGGTGCTATAAAAAAAACCTCAATCTCCCCAAATTTACAAGAACCATTAAGAAAAATTCTGGTCGAAAACACAAAAATTTTATATAAATCACATTACCAGAAACATCTCACTATGAGAAAGGCCCTGTATATTGAACATGTCTCTCCTACTATCAACCTCACCTTATTTAATAATGGGAATGGTTTGTTAAAAGGTTTTAAAAATTATAGAAATTTGCTCACTCAAATTGCAGCCATGCTCAACATGCAAAGGTTCAGAATAAACACTCCTACTAGTACTCAAAACAACAGAAAAATAAAATGTGTATAAACAGTCAAAACATAAAGAGAAACTAACAACACCTAAAACAAAACCCCCTTGAAAATGGCTAAAAGTGGCCAAAATCACTTGGGACAATGGACATTATGGAAAATTTCTGTACTTCCTTACTCCCACCAAATTGAAAAACCTAAGAATGCTGCTAAAACTAATATATATATATATATATATATATATATATATATATATGATATGAGTAAAATTTTGTCACTTATCTGATTGATGTTACCTTCAGCATCCCAACTGCAGAGTTACATTGATGGGCAGGTCCGCCTCCAAAACACTGGAGTCAGGATGCTGAAGATAACAACAATCAGATATGTGACAAACTTTTACTTATATTAATTCTATTAATGGTCTATCTTTGATATCAAGCACTTTATTGCAAAGACTGCTTACCTTAAATGTCTTTTCACTCAAAATTTTGGCTTCATACTATCTTTGACAGCACTATATATATATATATATATATATATATATATATATATATATAGCATTTGTGTGTATATATGCACCCATGCAAACACCTCTTATTAATCAAACATGCATAAAAAAAAATCGTTGTGCAAGTTCACCGTATAATATATATATATATATATAATAAAAATACATTTTTAAGGTATGTTATGTTTATGTGTTAAATTGCTCAATATTAGGGACAGAGTGTATATAAATATAAAAGTGGACATTGAAGTCAACACCCAGCAGCAAAAATCTATTTCATGCTTAAACACAATCATCAAGATATATATATATATATCCAATGTCGATAACATGACTCTGTGTTTCATGAGGTCTTGCAATCTTCAGGTGCTGAGTATATTCAATATATATATATATACTTAGTACCTGAAGGATGCAAGACTGCATGAAACTCCGAGTCGTGATATCGACGTTGGATATTATGTATATTCACTAATATATACTTACAGCTCTATTACATAACATTGAGCACTGTATTTATAACACCTGAGGAAAAATATATTTATATGTACATGCAAGTATATGTGCATATATGTAAATATTTTATCATACCCATATATATATATATATATATATATATATATATATATATATATATATATTTTTTTTAATTTTATATTATTTATAATGGATACTCATATTTAAGTAGGCGTTCCATTTATTTATTAAAACAGTATTTATTTTTGTACACCAGCTCTCCGGAGAATCGCATATTTTCCTTTAATAAGATTTCTTGAGTATCCAGACTAGTAGGCGAAAATAAAGATATTGTTTAATAAATACACAGAGCATTTACTCAAATACAACTATCCATTAAAAATAATGTTTTTAAACTGATTATATATATATATATATATATATATATATATATTCTAAAGAATTAATGCATTTAGTTTTAATCCATTTCTATACACTTCGTATTTGAAATAGACTTCTCATTTTTATTTATTGATACATAAAAAGACCGTTATAACATTATATATATATATATATATATATATATACACACACACAATCATGTTTTCATTTACATTATCAATTTTTAAATAAATCAACAGTTTCATTCATTTGTATGATGTTTTGTACTGTCTTACCTATCTAAAAAGAAATATAAAATCACACACACTATACACACATA